TAGCGTCAGTCTTTTATTCTCACGCGTTCATATATTGTACCGTTTTTTCACAATAAACATTCAAATTTCGAAAAAAAAAATCCGGTTTCATATTTACACACCTGGTATATATATATATGTAGTATATATATATATATATATATATATTTCACGCTCGGCCTCGACGTTGTCGAGTATTTGTGCATAAATGACAAAGCGTTTCATTTTAGCTTCAAATGTGAAATGCAATTAAAAGATTGAGATTTTTTTTGTTATCTGGACGTCATGCAGGCAAAGCACACAAAATTGATTGACAAAATAAACGAATGCAAAAAAAATTTCCGCAGAGACAAAAAAAAAACACACGAAATTAGAGTTCATCCTTGAATTTGTCAATATTCTGGAGATGATCGCCATAGTCAGTTGCTTCGCTGCCCACAAACAGATCGTGATTATCCAAAATTTCATTGTAGCTCAAACGGTCGTCTTGGTCACCATCAGCTGCGGCGAACAAGTGATTCACTTCGTCGATTGCAACGTCACTGTTTGAGAAAAAGAGAAAGAAATGTTATGAAAAATATGTTTTTATTTTCTGGAAGAAAAAAAAACAGGTAACGAAAAACACACGAAAAAGAAACCACGTAATAAGCATTTGTTTGGGAATTCAATTGTTGCTTATGCAAATAACAAAAACACATACTCGTTACTAGGAACAATCCATGAGAGAATTTCATTGCCATTAAGTAATCCATCGCCGTCTTTGTCGTATTCGCTGTCGAAACGCTCTTTTTCCGCAATCAGCCAAGCTTTGTCATGGTCACGTGCCGAATCGCCAAGGAATTCCTGGAAACTAATGATGCCATCGTTATCGGTGTCTTTGTCGCGCAACGTTTGATTCAAAATGATCGGCAACATAATTGGATGCTCCTCCGGGCTGATGAACAGAACAAATTCTTCACGATTCAAGTGGCCGTCTTTGTTCAAATCAGCCGTTTCGAACATGACTTTGTCATCGGCAATCAATTGCCTATTCTCCGATTCAACGCGATCGTCTAAAACTGAAACCTTCACGCCCGGCTCATCTTCCGAGTCCATGTCGTACATTTCTTTGAGATATTCGGCCCATGTCACAGCTTCATCGGTATTTTCATCGACCTCATCGAATCGATCGTTTGATTCTTCCTCCGACAATGACCTGAAAGTTTTGCAACAGATATGCGGATCGTTAGGTGATGTCTGTTCACGAAAGTTGAACTCATAAAATAGAACAAACTCTAAATTTGATCTCGGCAATTCAATAAAATTACTTAGTTCAATGCAATAAATCGTTTACTCACTTGAATGAGCGCAATATGTGCGCCCTCAGTTCATGCTTATCAACGAAACCGTCTTTGTTTGTGTCAATTTTACTGCTAACCAATATTTTCAAGCGTCTCTTGGACTCCTCTGGTGATAGCTGATGGAATTCTTCAGCCTCCTTCACACTGCCCAGCATTGCTTCATGATCGAACTCTGTGAGATGTTCACCATCTGCTCCGTTATGATCGGAATCGCGTGGCTTAAACGAACCATCTACCAACCGTTCACCCTGATTATGGCCATGTTTATGCGTTATAGCCGCTTCAATTACCACACAGAATATTACGGTAAACAAAAAATGTACCGATAATTCTTTTCTGGAGATGAGCATTTTGTTTTTTTTTTTTTCTTCCAATCAATTTACTATGCACTGCACTAATTTTCAAGCGTATATTTCACGACTTTTGCATGGCAGACTCAAATAAAGAACTAAACTAACGAAATTCCGATTACTCAATTGTTAAATTTGCATAACAAACAAAATCAAAGTGCGCTGCTTTGTGCTTGTGCCATTAGAAATAATATTCGTTTGTATATGGACTTCTATTTTATCAAATGTCACATTCACTATGCATTTGTGTGTGTGTGTGTGCACAGCATTAGCTTGTACAGCATTAGCACCCGGTACGTGATTTCTTCGATGATATTCGGATTGGAGCGAAACAAAAGGATAAACAACAAATACTTTGTGATTATTTCCGATTTTATTCAATAGATGGAGCCATGAACTCGAAATACATTTCGTGAAAGAATACGGAACAATTTTATTCTAGACCAAAATAACTTTGGTTTATTCAACACTTTTCAACACACGAAACAATATTAATTTATTTTTTATTAAATTTATTAATAAATATGAATGTTTATTCTATTTGTTGATTGATTTCAATTCGGTTGTTAGATGTCGATTGCGTTGTAGACATAAGCATGTAAATGGATTGGATAGAGGGACATTTTCACCATCTTCGATAGTCTGTGGTAACGGTTTGTTCATCGTTTCTGGTAAAAACAGACTGGCGATACCGCCCAGTGTGAGTAAGCATCCCATTATAATCAGGGGTAGTACCAACATATTGCTTCCCTGTTTACAGAGAAGATAAAAATGAAGATGCAACACAAAATATTCAAGTTGTTAGTCGAAATATTGGCATTTTCATACAATTCGAATTTTGAATTTCAAATGTAATTAATTTTGTTGAAATCAGAATTGATTCTTGCAAACAATTTCTACTGTTCATTCAGATCAGTTTGTACCTGTTCGAACTTACCATATAATTGATGACCGGTATAACAATAGGTCCAATCATTCCGATGACCGAGCTAATGCTCATGCCCAATCCACGTACAACGGTCGGATACAGTTCAGACGCAGCCAACGGCAGTACGACAAATGCCGATGAAATGCCCATTTTGCCAATGCAATACAGGCTCAACATAATGAATTGATCTTCCTGCACCAAAAATGTGAGCAAGCATGCAATACCGCCGACCAACATCGACACACATAAAATCCATCGTCGTCCGATGCAACTCAAACCTGGCCATAAAAATAGATATGTTGGCAATTCAACGGCTCCGGCTAAAAAGAAATTCCAAATTTCATCGCCTCCCAAGGCTGGTGCATAATAGCTTAGGCCAACATAAACGCACGTATTGGCAAACCAAATGAATGTAATGATTAATGTTTTTGCGCGCATATTTGATGTACGAAATAGATCAAGTACACCAATATTCGATGATTTGACATCGCTTGTTTGCTCGGTTGACGCAGCACCGATGCTTGGATCGAAATGACGTCGCAATACCTCTTCATAATCGTCTGGAATCACTTTTTCATTCAAACGTGCCATTTCACTCATGATACGAGCAGCACGACGATATTTTCCGGTAGCCACCAGCCAACGCGGACTCTCCGGCAGAGTGAAGAAGAAGAAAAATAGCAACAGAAGTGGGAGTGATACAGCCAACGAAAGGTAACGCCAATCCCGTACGAAATACACTATTCCCGACAACAAAACCAATCCAATGGAATAGGCGATGTTGAGAACGATGGTGCAGAATACACGATGCTTTGGTCCAACCAGTTCGATTGCTGTGTTGTTGGTTTTTTTTCGTAAATTGAAAATCAAAATTTGGAAACGAAGAAATTGAACAAAGTGAAAAAAAAGGTGGGGAAAATAAATGTAAAATTGAATTTTTTTTTGACTTTTTTTCATTCGACTTGAATATGATCAGAGTACCTAGAACATAAGGGCTGGCCAAAATGGCAGGAACTGTGAATCCGACAACAACTCGAAATATCAACCAAGATGTGAAGTTCCATGTCATTGAGCTCAACGCACAAGCGACTATTTCCAGAAATAGATACACAAAGAACGATGGTCGTCGGCCCCAATAGTCTTGCAGGAAACCATACAGATAATTTCCGATCAAGCCACCCATTCCAAATACCACCAGTGCCAATGCTGGATAGAAACTTTTGTCGCATACAAGATCCCACTAGAATGTGTTTATTTTAAAATTTAAATAAATCGTATTTTCATATGAAAATCCATTTTTTTCATCTTGTCGTTAGATGAGAAAAAGATTTTCTTCTCATGAGAAAAAAAAACAAATGTTTTTTTGACTATTAGAATTATAATAAGCACCTCCATAACAACTGTATTTGGAAACATGGTTCTATTATAGATCCAGCCATCTTTGCACTTAATACTATCATAATTCCGAGTTGTCGAGTTGATCGGATCTAAATACAATTCGGTTTTGTTTCTCAATTTTTGCGTGTCCATGGTGTGAAGCATCAAAACGATTTCCGTGTAATTCCGTGAGTACATTTCGCATTGTGAATAAATCGTTTGCCCATCATGATACACCAATGGTATACTTTAATTTGAAGAGAATTTGGTCAAAGGACGATTTTTTTGTTTGATTATTTGTGATATTTTCAACATTTGGTATTTCAATTTTTTTTTATTGATTTTTTTCAGATTCTCGTTTGTGAGAAAGTGTTAAGAAGAATATAATATTCAACCCGATCGTCCTGAGTTGCGTGAATTACCTGAGTGATTTTAATAGTTCTGGTACATCCGTATACCATGGATCAAGTTCTGGAATTCGACACCAATGACTCGGTGTTGATGCGATGAATAGCTGACTATAGTACGAAAAGTATCAATCAATAAATATCAACACATTGCACCCAGATCACTTCAATCAAATCACAAAGTAAGAAACAATCAATCACCTGTAGGCATGGAATGCACATGGTAACACGGCCGGCATAAGCACGGCTATAACTAATTTTTGATACATTCCAAATGAGCCGACATCTTCCAACACTTTATCGAAATCCATTGTCAAAGACTGTGTGAAAAACTGGGAACACAAAACACGTAGACAATTCTATTTTTCTCGCACAATTCTGAAAAAAAAATCAAATCGACTTATCAAAAAATGCTGCAACAAATCACACCATGATTCCAAATTAAACGAAACTCAACACACAACGGCACCGAATCGACTGAACAATGGACCAATTTCACAAAACCGTGAAACTCCAAAAACCATCACGTGAATGCATCACCCGGGAAATGAGACTGCATCATTCGAACTGCAGTTTTATCCATGGACTTATCGCATAATTCGCCGTTTGAATGAGCGCGCGAGTGCAATATGCAGTGGATGTGTGTGTGTGTGTATGGCTTTGAATTTGCACGCTAATGATTCGCATTGTCTTGCCACTGTAAATTGATTATTACATGGGGCTTTTTTGATTATTCAATTAAAATCTTTGATAAAATTATGCACTATGGAAACAAATTCTTCCGTTTTGTACGCTCTGCTGTTAGTGGCTGCTTTTTTCCTATTGAATCGGACAACGTTAAATAATTGAATTTCGTCATCTATAAAAATGCCAGCATGAAATTAATTGAGTCATGGTCATAGCCTGATTTTGTTCCATACACACAGTCAGTATAGTTTATTTATTATTTTTTTTCGTTCGGTCAGAGATTTAATTTTACAGAAATTTAGTGCTATTTTTTCGCCTGTTTTTTCGCTTGTTTCTTGGCCAGCCGTCGATTCTGTTGCATTTTCTGTTGATGAATCTCCTTTTTAATGGTTTTGTCATAGCCTTTACCACTACGCTGGAATTGCTTTCCTTCGTTCCGCATTTCGGCTAGCTTACGATTTTTCTGCTTCAGAATATTCTTCTTATTTGCCGATTTCTTCTTACCACCCTCAGATATCTGCACTTTGATCGTGTAATTGTCCAACGTTCGATTGTGTAGCGCCAACGCGTTCTGAAACATTATTATTTATCGATTTTTACGAAATCTATATTTTTCACCGTATTCTTCATCATTTTTTCAACAAACCTTAAACGCATTCAAATCAGCCATTTCTACGAAAGCGAATGCACTTTTTCGCACTTTTGGTATTCGCACCGACTTCACAGCACCCGCCACTTCGAAAAACTCTTGCAACGTCTCCCGTTTCGTTGAATAGTTTAAATTTGTGACATACAATACAAATCGATCTTGTTTGCTGGCTCCACGAATCAATGCCTTTATTTGATCGTCATTCAGGTCTGTTTTCTTTGCGGCAGTTGGTTCTGTCTTTTTCTCGGGTTTCACCTTTTTATTCTGCTTGGCTTTTGGCTCTTTGTTCACTGGCACCTCAGTTTCTGGTTCATTTGGATCATTTTCGGCACTCTCATTTCCATCGGCAGCCACATCCATATTTTCGTCGTCATCGGCGTCACATTCTCCTTCCAAGACATTGTCAACCTTTGCATCACTTTCTGCTTCTTCATCATTTTCGGCATCTACATCGCTTTCATTTCCATTTTGCTCTTCAATATCACTGGCCTCATCCTGTTCATTCACTTCCTTCTCCTCCTCTAAATCTCCCTCATTATCGTCATCCTCATCGGCAAATGGATTTTCCTCGGACACACTAACTATTTCTTTGGATTTTTTCGCCTTTTTACCCTTCTTCTTGACATGTTTATCATCATCATCATCGAAGTTTCCAAGTATATCGGCTCGTTCGTCATTTATCAATGGCTTTGCAACTCTACTTGGCTTAATATACTGTTCAACAATATAATCCGAATCACCATCAAACATTTTGAACGATTGCTACAGTAAATCTTGAACTTATTGATAAAAAGAATGCTTTCACAATGCGGTATCAATGACACATGAAATCAACAATAAACAAAACGACATGCTCTGTGATTGAGGTTAGGTTTTTGACATTCCGATATGCTCCGCTGTCATCTGACACTGGACAAGATAGAAAGAAAGAAAAAGCAACAAATTTGAAAATCAAAACACAACGTTTGTTTATTTTTATTGGATTTAATCTTTATTAACTTTAATATAATTGCGTCATGCTTAAAATATTATATTTTTTTTGTCTGCCCATCTAATATATATAGATATTAAAATCGATATTTCACTCTGACTAAAGGATCAAGCGAATAAATTTTGGAATTGTTTTTTTCTTGTTTCAATTGAAAAACCAAATAAATGAGGACATAAAATTCGGGAAAAAAGCCAAATGTTTTTAACATTATTTTTTCACTTCATTTTCTTCTGCCAAAATACAGTGTGCTTATCAAATTACATATCCAATGCAAATCATATAAAATCCGTAACATTTGATTTTCGCTGCTAATAAAAAAGGATTTCTTTGTTGTTTTTTTTTATCCCCTAGACAAAAAAAAAAAACAAATTCTTGGTACAATAAAATAGGCATTTAAATTTGAAATTTGAAATTGATATCTGCAAAAATATATTTTTTTTTTTAAATCAATATTATGCTGTTAAGCATGAATAAAATCACTTCGAATTTCATTTCATTGTAAAAAAAGTCGGTATTTAGGTTTAGGAATTAGCGGAAAGAAAATTTGGTTGTTCTTGGGTTGGCCATGGTAGCACACAATTTACAGTGGATAATTTGTTTTGTTTGTTCTTACTCTGTGTGGGTTCATTGTTTCATTTTTTTTTATTTTTCTCTCTTAATTCTTCCGATAAGATCGTTTTTAAAGCATGATCAACTAACTCTCTCTACATTGAGTTAGTTGCTGTGTTATCTCCTACTTCTTCTTCTTCTTCATCGTCGTCGTAATTCCTCTTCTACAAATAACATTTTTCAGTAAAATATTTGGATGGGCATTTTTCCCCCGCTTTTTTTCTGCTTCGTTTTTTTTCTTCAATTTTTTCTTCAATTTTTCTTTCTGTTTCTTTATTTTTCAAATAAAATATATGTTTGTATATATATATTTATATATATCTGATATAGAGCATTATTATTCGCACAAAATATTTGCATATTTACAGTTGGCTTCACGCTTTTATCACTTTGCAGCAAAATAAATAATTTATCTTTTTTTTTTATAGTTTTTATTCCGTTTTTTCTTTCTTTCATTAATGGTTGTTGCATCAGAAAAAGCTTTTCTACGATGCTATTAACACTTTTGTGGTTCTGGTCGTGAAAATAAACAAATGTATTCAGCGATTGGTGTTTATTGGCCAAATAAAAAAAAGAAGAAAATCAATTGAATCGAGTCGGATCTATTATGAAATGTGTTTGTAATGGGTTTTCCAGTTGAAATTGCATATTAACTGAAACAAAAAAGTAACATCTTTAACTAAATCCGGTGACATAAAACCAAAAAAAAAAAATTCTTCCATTTGGTTTAAACCATTTATATCTTCCTGTTTCATCATACTTTCTGCTCAATGCAGGAGAGGAGAACAATTAAAAAATCCAACTACAAAAAACGATTCTACATATACATATATAGATGGAAGAAGCGAATGAAGCCGAAAAAATGTATGAGCATCTGTGTGTTTGTATGTTGAGTTCTAATTCACAACAGCAACAGGAGGGAAAAAAATGAACCGTCAAGATTCCATAGAGAAACCTTGTTTTATTGATAAGTATAAAATTGTTAGTTTAGATTGAATATGACAATTACTCATTGCAGCAACTGAACAAAAAAAAAATGTTTCTTTCTCATTCTTCTTCCAAATAAATTTACATATATGTTCTTTTTGGGTGGCAGTTAGGCTCCAACAATACACACCCATATACTCTTTCCTAATACACGAATAGCAATTTTAATATCGTTCATTTGTGTTCGCTCCGTAAATGAAACTTAATCATAACAAATCACAAACACATTTACAAATTTCTTTCATTTAAAACAAAAACTCGGAGCTATGGCACTTGACCCCTTTCGAAACATATGTGTTGTTTTCTTTTAAAGCATTTTTCTTTCTTTGTCACTTGTTCTGCCAAATTGGTTCTTGACAACATTTTAATTCAAATGGGAAAAAAAAAATCACGATTCAATTTGTAAAATTAACGATAATTCGGTTTTGTTTTTCTTTTTTTCTTTTCTTTCGTTTTGTTGTGTATAATTTTGGATGCGCGTGTATCGTAAATATTACTGCTTTCTCATACAAATCTAGCCAATTTTATGTTTGTATGGACAAATATAGTAATAAAAACCACTTTGATATATTTGTCGCAATGAAGTTTGAATCGTAAATCAAACGGATTTTAGTTTTCGTGTTTTTTTCTTCATGCCTGCTTTCTTTTCACATTCAATTTCAAAATGTGTTTAAACAAATTCGAATTGATTAGTGGCCTTGAGTTGATTGGTGTTTCATGTTCATTTTCATTTATGAATTTTATTGTTTTTTTTGTTTTGTGAGTAGTATTGCTTTTTTTCGTTGCTTTCCTCATTCATTATCCCATTCGAATTCGGTGGTACATACGAAACAGTTAGATCGGTTGAACATACGCTCACACACACACACACACACACACACACGCATGTCAGTTAAATTGGGTATTGTGTGCAAATCAATCAACGCGAGCAGTCGAACCAACGGATGTATGTACGATTCATCAAATATTTAATTAATGGTAATGAGTGTCATAGCATCTTGGGAAAAGAAATGTAAAATTCTGCACATTTTCTTCTTCTTCTTCTTTTTCTTAACAACTGTTCATTTTCTTCCTCTATTTCGCTTTCTCGTTGGTTTGTTTGGTTGTTTGATTAACGCGGACTAAATTTTGGATTCTCGGGAACGATTGTAACCGTTTTCAATTCACTCGGAGACTCGGGTGCGCCTTTGGCATGGGCGGCTGCTGTATCACAATCCGTTCGACGCGATATCAACATTCGAATGTCACCATGCAATGCCAAACGTCCCGATCGTGTTGTTTGAAATCTGTGCGGTAGAAGGAAGGTGCAAAAAATTGAATTAGTGAGAAAATAAAGTTGGAATCATGGGTTCTTTTCTTTCAAAATTTGCCAAAAAAAAAAATTTACTGAATGCAAAGACAAGTATGATAAATAAATACCTTAAATGAATTGCATAACGTAATAGTTTCATTTGCTCGGCAGGACTGAGATCATCAACGCTTCGGCCTGGATTTGCATTCTCATCAAACGATAGAATTCTCTGACGCACAAATGTTTGGCACATCGCCGGCATATCACGGAAATCGTAGGCGACCACAAACATCCGCACAACCATACCATTTGGATTGAGTAATGTTGCCTGAACGTGACCGGTACGTGGTATTACGTAGCCTTTTCGTGGTGGCATACTCACTTCGCACTGAGCATGTACGTTACATGAAAAACGAAAATGAAAGAGAGAAAACCAATTTCAATCAGTTTGGTTGCGCTTTTGAAATGAGAGCACGCTGCACGCTGCTTGCGGAAAATAGCAATTTTTCACTTACCACATACGGTGTGCTCAGTGCTTCGTCATTCAATTCATAGAAGAAGGTATATGCTGGTATTGTAATTTGGCTTGTGCAGTAACAGCCAGACGCCCCAAGCAACACTTTGTAACCGGGCACTAAAAATTTCGGTTCGAATCGACGTTGCAGCAATGATTCTTCAAACGAGCCTAATTTCCAACAGAAATACAAAACATCGTCGAAAATTGGATTAATTTGATCGATTCACCCGGAGTTAATTTCAAATGAAATTTATTCTATTTCGACACCAGCACTTACCTAGCAATGCTCGTTTTCGATATGCATAATTCTTTGGGAAGAATCGGAGTGTAGCTTTGGTTGGAGATATGCCCGGTCGATATTCCGAATCGAGACACAATTGATGAAATTCCTCATCGGACAAATGATCGTCCGAGCCAATTGATAGGCGTTCAGATGAACGATCCGATAGGTGTCGAGACCGACGCTTGATTGCAGCTGCCGATTTTAAGAAGCGCGGTGATAATGTGGGCGGCGAATATTGGAACGATGGTGCTGAATTGGATTTTTGAACCAAACCACTACCCGTCGGCGATGACAGTGGCGGCGATAAATTTTCAAAATCAAACGAGAATATTGGCATCGGAGCTTGTGATATTTTACGCAGTTCAGCGCTGATATCCAGCTCATTTGGTTCGCTGTAATCGCTTGCATTTGAATCAATTGTCTTGGTAAAAAGTTTTGTCAAATTGATTTTGGGCAACGATTTGGACGAATTCAATGTCATTGAATCTTGTGAACATTCTTCGTCAGCGCGACTTCGGCATTCAATATAAATTGGTTTGGTTTGATTGTCAAACATGGTGCTGGTGCTGCTCGTGCATGGCGTTTTAAAGTGATCGTGGTTGGTTCCATGGATTATAACATCGCTGCCGATGGACAATGACGACGATGGAAAATCGCTTGCACTTGGTGGGCTGTTCGTCGTATTTAAATCTAATTGCTTCGGACGGTTGTCATCACAATTGCAAATCAGTTCGTCCTCCGAATAGGCACGCCGATACAGTTTCAGCTCATTGTCCGACAGTATGTTCATCATGTCACATTGGAGTAAATCAATTCCCGGTTGCGTGCAATTCTCGATGGCTGTGTGACATGTGCCGACCACACTTTCGGACATTGTGCGTCGATAGGTGCCCGAAGAGCATTCACCATGCTCTACTCCCCCTCGTTTCACCAGCAAATGTGTGCTGGCATCATCATAGCTGGTGACATTTGGTATCACAGAGAAATCGTCCCTTAAATGACTACGGCTTGTTGGCAAATTGTTGTTATTCGAATGACTACTACTGCTGCTGTTGTTGCTGCTGCTGCTGCTGCTGCTCGCGTGAATACTATGGATGTACTTGGCCGTACGCTCATCATTATCGTAGTTATGCACAGTTTTTTGTCGTTTGCAACACGAACGACAATCGCTTACATCTAGCTCATC